ATTATCCCTTTAGACATGATCAAAATATACTTTATAAGAGTAATAAAAGCTTCAAAAATAAACCATGTAGATCACAGAACACAAGACCAACATATTTTTACTTTTTCCTATGAGCGTTACAAAATATATGAGTTCCATTGAGTTCGAAAGTAAATTGGTTAGAATTATAAATATTGACCACTTTGAGGTCTGATCGACTAGTTCGAAAATTAGAATAAACACACTATTGAGTTTGAGAGTTTTAAACATGATCGTGATAAGAATTTTACATACACATAATTATGCATGGATCTAGGACTAGGAATAAGATTTTAGAGTATTGAACAAACTACCACGACCAGGGACTAATACAACTAGTGTCTAGCATCATTTTAAAAATGACTTCTCTGAAAATTATATGTTAAATAATATCTGCAGCTTAAGTAAATATCTATAATCATAACAAAAGCACGGGTTACTTTGAGTGGCTCTTAAGTGATAAAATATAATGGTGATTACAAATGGATCTTAATCACTTACATACTCAGAGAATACCATTTTATGTGTTCTGTATAAAAATAGGGCGATGAATTGTAACTAAAAGCAAAACAACCACAATACATAAAATTGTAGAAAACATGAAATTTGTTTTATAAAAATGACTTTGAGGAATGACCATAGAATAATGAAAACATTAATATGTATCCAACAAAATGTTACACCTTTCCCACTGGTTTAACTTTTATTCGTTTTCCTCTTAGAATGTATAAATTTCTAGTTATTTTCATTATGCTTAGAAAAAAAACTGAATACATTTTTTGAATTAATTTTAAAAAATTAAACTTTAGTTATCATTTTTGGCATTATCAAATACATTTGTACTTTCATATGAAGTACAGTTAAAACAATGTAGGTATACATGTATTTTTAGTCTCAAATAATTATGTATATAATGTCCATGTGTAACAAGGAATACCTTTCCATAGTGTTAAATGTTTATAATGTTAAATTATATATAAGCAACCTTATTATAAACACTTTCGTCTAAATTTGATTGAATAGTTTCACAGTATTTAGGCTCCGGGTTGATGTAAGAGATTAAAGAGGAAGAATGTATTTGTAAAATCTCAGCGAATGAATTTGAAATAAATCCTTGAAAAAGCTTGAACCAGATTGCTAGGCGAAACGATGAATTTACTTCAAATTCATTCTTTGAGATTTTATAAATACATTCTTCCTCTTTAGAGTTATTATAAGCTAAAATAAATGTAGTAATTTTGAAAATAATTATTTTAGGTTGATTAATACCTACTGAATATTCAACTGTTGAATCTTGTAACTTGTTCAATTGAACCTACAACAATTGTTTAATTAAGAACGAATAAGATTCTTCGAATTTGATCAGGTCGTAATTCAATCTCGATAGTACGGTTACTGATACAAAAAACACTTCGATAATTTTCCCGGAAATATGGAACTTAGAAAGAAGATAGAAGTGAAGAAGAAGCATTATATTCAACGAAGGAAAAGACGTAAAATAATTCGGTAAATATTGTAACAAAATATGATCTCTGGATACAAGAAAATTAACAAACTAAAGTGGTAACAGCCGTTTAGAAAGCATCAAAGGTTATACAAGTTTATGAATTGGAAAAAGCATACTCGTGGTTATCGCAACAAGAAAGACATAGATATTCACAGAAAATAAACAACTTAAGGTCTTCCTAGCATCAATTAAAATAATCTTATGGATTTCTTGTATTCAACAGTGAGGTATAATACAACAATTTATATTAATAATTACTATCAGTTTACGATTTAGCACAGTTCACAATCAAACTCACTATTAAATTACTGCCTTACTATCAACTAGCATGAACTTATCGGTTTTATTTTCCTGTTAAAGTTCCAGAAAGAGAAAAGTCCCAAAGAATTACCAACAAGTATTCAACAGTAAATCTGCTTAAGTATTTACAAAGATATTTATATCATCTTAAATAGGACTAGATGCGCATCTTGCATTCCACTGCTAGCCACCATCATCTCAGCTTATATTGCTTGTGACTGAAAGCAATATCGAGGCATTCCTTACTTGATGCACATATGCCAATAAGATACTGATCAATTGAAGTCCTAAACATAAATGAAAAATTTCAAACGACCAATACAAAAGTGAATTATATTTTAAAGATAATTGTTTTTCATGAACTGATGAACTATTGAAAAAGTTGAACTATGAACATAACAACTGCAATAATACTCTCTGGTTATCAATAGTTTCCTGACTACAAAGCTATATAAATCTTCTAAAATAAAACATCTAATTAAGAATCATATTCTAATACTTTCTGTTGTAAATATAAAAGTAACACTATGTTTCCAGAAAAAAATTTAAAAAAATCTGAAAGTGGTTTTATAGATAAGGAGGAGTCTCACACTAGGACGACACAGCCATCCAGTACTTTCAGGTATTCCATGATGATCTAGTTTCAATTAATTCATAAACTTAATTATTAAAGTAATAAGGTTTCATATAAACATGTATAAATTTTTAAAAATTTAAATTTTATCGCCTATATAATACAATTAACTGTTTTTAGTAATATTTTAACTTACTTGTATAGATTTAAAATTAAAGCAGAAAATATTATTTATTTTCTATGGTTTCTGATAAGCATCTTTTTTAGCGAGTTAGTTTTCTACAAGATGGAATCACTAAACCCAATGCCCAACCCACCTCCTTTACTTGGGCTTGAAACTGGCAGAAACTTTAGAAGAGCTACAGAAGGTGTTTTATTTTCTATATTTTAACTAAAATATAATTTAAAAGACAAAATCTATTGAAATATTATCATTAAAATTATAAGATTTATGATTGGTTAAATTCAATATTAAATAAATTTTAAAAAAAAACAACATCAAAACAAACTTATGAAAAGGTTATGGTATTTTAATTTAATGAATTAAGAATAAAATATCATTTTAAATTTATATATAATATAGATTTCTTTAAGATTTATGCAATTTTATGTGTATTTGATAGTCTTATGTAAGAAGAAAAAAACAAATAAAACAAAGTGTATATAATTCAATGAATAAGTTTAATGATGTAGTCAGATAGAAAGAAAAAAATTATTATTTTGTTATTGTAGGACAAAGTAGGAAAATTATTTTAAAATTAAATAATTTAAGTGTTGCCTCCAAATGCCCTGATATGGTCGAGAGTCGGGAGAGTCAGCTCTCCCTCTCGAAATGCTCTCACATGGCCACGTGTATTTAGCCTCTGCCAGGAAAGTCCTAGTCACTGCCTTCTCGTGGCAGAGGTGTTTACGAAATTGAGAGGACGAAAAGCGAATGTCCGGAGCTTTAACCGGGTTGGTGGACACGGAGAGTTCATATAGGGGAGTTGGGAAACCCTGATTCCAAACCAATGGTGTACATGGGCTCCAGTATCCTGAAGGAACAAATGGCATATGAACCAATCGTTGGTCACCGGCTACCATGGGACTGCATTTACTTACGATGCTCTACTGCCTTGTGGATCAAACCTTTAGGTCGAAGGCTCGGAGTGTGGCCCCCTAAGGAAACCACCTGCTTCGGTTCGGGCACTTGGGCAGTATCACAGCATACATACAAATCAAACGAGATTTGTGTGACGCATTTGTATCTGGTGCCCCCTTGTACCAATATCTATGTGTTCAAACAAATAAATAATTTAAGTGTTAGATAAATCTATAAAACAAAAAATAACAATTTTTCTTAAAAAGTCAAGATTGATCTTATTTAAAATCAATATTGAAACAAAACAAACCGAATTTTTTTAAAAAAAATTTTAGTCATTCATAAGAATCTGAAATTGTTGTCAGGTAATATATCTGGTTGAATTTGATTTTTATGATAAATTATTATAGGTGATTCATTTATTTAAAGCAATTAGTCCTTTTCGATAGAACAATGAGAAGAAGGAGTTGATCTGAAAAATGTGATGTATTTGCGCTATACATTTCGAACAATCTTGTCACACATATACTTGTCATTTAATTGACCTTTATTAATTTCCATATAAAATGCTTTGATAAGTATATATGTGATCAGATTGTTCGAAATGTATTGCGCAAATACATTACATTTTTCAGATTAACTCCGTCTTTTCATTGTTCTATCGAGATTCATTTATTCATAGAATAATTTCAACTATTATCTAGTAACTGGATTGTAGAGATTTCGGTGAGACTATAATTTATAGAGGAGCTTTGAGAGACACTAAAGTGATCTTCAGAGTGTTCACCTAATAACTAGGATCAAATGAAGATTATAAATCAGTGTGAAGAATAAGAATTATGATTTACAGTTGATGGTTAAGGTTAGGAATTCGATTTAAGGTTCTCATTACAAACTCATTAGCTATAATGCCAAAACGGTATATTGCCAAATGGATGAATGAATTTTCCTCCAAAAATCCGAAACCTCTTATCTTTTGCCTGATTGGTTCGTCTATAAATTATAGTCTCGTTAAAACTTCAATTAACTTGGTTCATATTTTATGAGGGCAGTTACATGTTACTTATAAGGTTTGCAAGTAGGTTATGAGAATTCGTTTTCAATCGGAACAGAATAAATGATATAATTTTAATAGATAAGCTAACAGTTCAAATTGGACAAGTCCTGAACTGTTCTTTTCTAATTATATTTGAAAGGAAAAAAATGACAACCGTAGATAGATACGTGGAGATTTTCATTTAATCTTTTCAGTATGATCCGTCTTTGAACAAATTTTAGATGGTTCCTTTTCTCTTTCATTAGCAAAATAACATTGAGTGGTATATACTTTACAGTTTAATTCTCCCTAAGTTTTATAAGATTAATGTAAAAGGCATCTTGTCTGTTGAAAATTCCACACTTGATGCATTTTTCGCAATACCACCAAAGTACTAAGACTACTTTTATTCATGTTTCATCTAAATATTAAATATATATACTTCTGCACAAATCTAACGTAACGCTTTCCTGTTTTCTACTAGGTTCAATATTTTCTTCGTCAACCAAGTAGAGAATTTGATTTGGATAAAAATACAGGCAAATTAACTGTACGAAAAAATGTAATCGATATTGGCAAGCATCATTCAAATGAATTATTTGGAAAATTCGTAAGTTTATTAGACCGTGAACAAAAAGACACTTATGAATTAACAGTATATGCTGAAGATTCTGGTAACCCATCAAGACGTGCAAATACAGTTATACATATTAGTATATCAGATGTAAATGATCATGCACCAGAATTTCGTTATCCTACACCTCATGGTACTGGAAGTCTACTGAATATATCATGTGCACAATTAGGAAGTCAAATTATAGCTCACGTACATGCAAACGATTCAGATACAGGACGTAATGGAGATATTGAATACAGTATTATTCGTCAAAACAGTAGAACGCAACTGCAAAAAGTTAAACGTAGTGGTGATGACGATTTACTAACAGATGTTCAGGAGAAATCAAAAAACAAAGTATCCAAAGATAAAAATTCTCAGTCAAATCATACAGACTCACCGGACCTGAAAGAAACTACAACTGTTCAGGATGGCGTAAATAAAACTGTGGAGACTAAAAATATTTCTAATACAAGACATGTCAAGTGGGCTCCATTATCCCAAGTACTATTAGGTGGACCTACAGAAGAACATTTTGATATTGATAGTTACAGTGGCCAATTATTTTTAATTCATCCTATATTTGATTGCAGCCAACCAGTTGATGTAAAATTATTAATACAAGCAACTGACGGTGGTCAACCATCAAAATCATCTACAGCTCAACTAACATTACATATTTATCCAGTGACTATGAAAAATGAATTAGATAGTGAGAATAACCAAAATACTAATAATAATAATTTTATGAGTGTTACAGATATTCGACGTAATTTAGATTTTAATCGACGTATAAGTAGCAATACAAATGCATGGACAGATCACAAAAGTTCAAGGCCAATATACCAACGAGCTGGGTTCAGTGTTTCGTCTTCTGGTATGACAAGTAATCACAGAAACATGACTAATTATCATTGGCCAGCTATTGTTGGCTTGATTGTAGCTATGATTGTTTTAGTACTGTTACTATGTCTTATGTTAATTATTTTAAGAAGAAGATTTATTATGGATACGAGAAAGTTGCCCAATAAAGGTATGTGATTATGTACCAGTAATAATAACGGTAATATTATCATCAGCATTAAATATAATTATTTAATACAATGATAAATAGAATTTCCGATTCGTAATTTAAAGATCTATATAATTACTTCATGACATTAATTTACTGAGCTACATAGTTTAGTTTACTAAAACCATAGATACTGAATTGAATAATAGATGAAGTTAAATTATATACAAGCTAATCAAAACGTAATATTCTAACTAACCATGAGAGTGATTGATATGTATGTCCCTGACAAAGTTTATTTATCGCATACTGACTAGTCATTAACTAACTTGATAATAGGGTTTTATGAAGAAAAAAATCAATATTTTATTGATCTAAATTTGATTGGCACAAACGAATGATTATTAATTCAGTTTATTGATTTTCACGGAAATGTGAAATGACTGTATTTTTTATTATTATTTAAAACTTGATTGATTATATTAAAAACAATTAATGAATTAAATAAAGTTATTTTAAATATAAGAAAAACTAAAATAAATAAACAAATAAATAACGTTCCAACAAGTGATTGAGATCGATTCTTGAATACTTGAAGTACTAAGAATAATTTCAAGGATTTTATTCCAATATTTTCCGTTTGACAAAATATTACTAAGTGATATGAAGTGATCATTGTCAGCTGTAAGTTGTAAGCAGGGTTGTCTGATATCACCTGATTTCTTCACCTAGAATCAATATTTAGAGACTTTGGATGATATAGCTTAGGCGCTGTTGCAATGGTGCAGATGGATTCACTCTATGTCTTTCTTTGGATGTTAATTTTTAAAATTATTTCATACTTTCTTTTCTGTAAATCCATTCTCATTTCTCAAACTATATTATCTTTATTCAATCTCTTCTTTTGTCACTATTTCTACTGTTCCGTAATCCTTCCTGTTAAATTTATCTCTGTGCACTAATGTGGTATAGCAAGTTGAACCGATGCATATATGTTCCAGGTTCTACTATGTGTATAGCTGACTCGTCGATCGATTATTCTGTGTACTCATATCTAAAAATCCAATTCCATCGTTTGACCAGTTTAAATTTCATATACTATATCTAAGGTCATTTTTAGCTGAATTAAAACTCTAGAGTTAATCAATACAAAAGTCACTTTACTTATAAGCAAAATTTTGCGAACTTTCATACCTCCTAAATGAAACTCGTTAAAAAAAGTCAAATCAAAGGTATATCTCACTAGCAAGCTATCCAGAATATTAACGAACTTCTTATGTTTTATTGTTTAGATGGAATTAGCAATTATGTCAAGGCTATCGATGAATCGTTTGTATTAAGAAACTAATCACTCCTATGATTGAACGAGCCAATCGAATTACTTTTATAAGCAATCATTCACTTGGTTAGAAAGTCGACATAATCAGACATCGTTAATATACCACTCAAATATCCAATAATTCTTTAAATTATATCGACTTGTAACTAGTGTTAATTTTAAATAATCTGAAGTAGCTTATCTTTCAGATTTTTCATTTATTGTGCATAAAGTTCATGTTGTCCTACTTTTAGAACCTGAAGACAAGTATTCCGTTGAATGTTTCACTTAGCCCCATGAAACGATATCTAAATGAGAAATAAATTCCTACATAAATTATTCAAATCTGCATTCAAACTTATGATTTATCCATCTTTAATTTGACATTACATTGAATTTGGTAAAGGTGAAAATGGTCCTCAAAACAACGTGGTTTAAATTAAGGAAATCTAATAGGTTTAGCGACCTGAATACTTGTTTCATCTTAGGTGTTTAACAACAATGGTCTTTTCTTGGACAGTTAAATAGACGACTTAGTTATTATACCAAAAGGGTTGTCATTTATACAAATGTTAGCACTTTGAGAACTAAATAATAGTCCTTCATTATGATAACTCAGTATTATAGCGATGTTCCTAAATTCTCGTCGCGTAAGTAAAGATGAACACTGGCATACAACTGTGAAAGACAGTTTAATCATGGAAAAAATTTACCAAGAGATAAAAGAAATTTAAATCAGAATATTATAGCTCATTAATTTGTTATTGCAGCCATTATATGGTCTGAAGATTACGGCACCTTTTATTTTCCAAACGAATGTAGAACCATAAATATCAGTTTCTGACTAAAACCATTTCAGTCTCTTGATACTTTTTTCAAACTATGCGAATTGTATGAAACAGGGATGAATGGTAGCTAACAGTGGAATAAGAGATGAGTCCCAAATAGGACGAAACTAGCGTCCTGGACTCCATTGCTAGCCACCATCTAACCTTCCTTAAAGTGCTTGTGATTTAACAATATGGAGCGAATCCATACCGGATGCATATGTAACAGAATAGACTGATCAATTGCAATCCTAAACATCAATGGGAAGATCCAAACAACCAATATTCATATATATGAATTAAAATATGAGGATTATAGTTTAAATTCTTAAACAAAACTACTAGAACAGGAAGAAATATCTTTAGTTCAAAACAACAGGTGTATGTTCACATACTTATTGTATAGATAAGTATTCTTTAGTGAAAGAATAATTAACGATACCATTCATCATTGAACTTGGAGTGACATAGTAGTCATATCAATTGTTAAATAATATTGAATCATAAAAGAAATATAAGTTTTAAAATGATTGACTGAAAATTTCATTCCTTTCTAATTCATCAATTAATGGACATAATTTTTTAAGTAAGAATTGAATTATTATTTTTTCGTTTGAAACGATATTACTAGTTATGATGGTTTATCCACTTACTTTTCATTTTGAGGTAAACATTACAACAACAACAAAAAAAAAACTAATAATTATGTTCTATTTATTTCTTGTTTAAAATTTGATTTAAGAAATACAATAGACTCTAGTTGACAGTATCTATTTAAATGGACGATTTGAAGTGGCCAAATTAAGAATCAACAGTTCAAGTACTTAACCAATGAATTTAAAGTTTTGCTATTAGAGATTTTGATGATTTGCCATCGAAAACATATAATTTTTAACAGGGTTTTTTTTCCAGTTAATATTAGCTTATCAACAGATATTACCTGTGGACAATGCTAGGATCTAACGCAAGGTGATTTGACTTTCATATCATTGATTATATATAACTTTTCATTGAGATTATCTCAGTACGTTACGGAAATATTTCATATCTTACATTTTTAAAGTGACAATAAAAATCATGTACGAAAACAAGGATTAATTTTACCATAAATAAATAAGTTTAAGCAAGAATTAATAACAATAGTACTATAAACTACTTTTCTACTAATCATCATCTTATTTATTTCAGCGGAATCAAAAGGGAATATGGATGGAGACAAATATCAAACAGTAAGTGAAGCCCCAAATAGTAACCGTTATTAGGGCTATATATATATATATATATATATAATTTTTCACAGCGTTGACCCCAGTAATTATATTCAGTGTATTTCGAAGAGTAACTGGCACTTGAATTTAGAATGTTTATAATTTGTCATACATAAGAGTTGTCGCCTGGGTTCATTTACTTTCCGGGGTTGATATTTACACTGAGACTCGAAACTAGCACCTTTCGCACTAAGCACCAGTGTGTTATCTATTTTCAGAAGGGGTTTTGTGGAGATTTTAGAAGTTTCAATAGTTGAAATCATGAGCTAATTGAAGCTAGACCAACATGGAAAACCTGGAAGCACCGTTATCTATTTGTCTACTGAGTTAAGGTAGCTACCAGTTTGTTTGATGCTTATGAAATTTACTATTTTCGATAAATGTATATTTGATCAATTTACAACTTTAGATGGACTCCTTGAGCAGATGTCTCGATATTGATACAACTGGGAACTATACTCCCTCTGGTAATAAATATTACAATAAATATTACCATTTTAATATTTTAACAAATATTCCTTAATTTCAATGGGGTTCGCAAGACTATATTTCTAAAGGAAACAATTTAATGGTATAAAACAAATGGTTTTTTATTCATTAAACTTCAGTGAGAATTACAATTGGACAAAACTTGAAAAAATGGGATGATAGGATTAAAAAGATTTAAAAAACCGAACGTTTTGCACTTGTACTGTGTCCTTCAACTTATTTATTTAAACATAAGTGAGTACCAAAACAAATATCCGTTTCCAGGATATTCATAAGAAGTAACTAGTTGCATTAAAGTGTCAATACATTTTAATACCTTCAGGTTTATTTGATCAAAGATAAAATACTAATCATTGAGTCGAAAAACAATGGGTCATATTTACAATCTGAAGTCACCTCTGTGTATATAGTGTCATTTTAAAACTTAACGATAATTGTAGATATTCATATTCACTCTCTTTCACGCTGACTTCACAGATGACGAACACTCTCGAAAACTTTAGTCGATGATGAAGAACTGTTAAAAATTAGTATGATATACTTATATAGTTGAATTATTCTATAATTTATGTTTAAATATCTATATGTATGTTCAATATAGATGGTTGGTATGACTATTCGTTCAAATGACACAATGCAAGATATCTATAACAGAAGTGGTTCACAGGTTGGACAACCATTACATGAAATAGTGAATAATTCTCATTCAACATTCTCAACAAAAACTGTAACACCACATCCTGTTGAAGAATTTAACTGTTCACCAATAAGTACCATGGTATTTGATACGCATCATCAATCATTAGTTGGGAATAATTTTTTTCGTACTCTACCGATTTCTTCGTCAACTTCAACAGCAATAATATCATCAACACCAGCTGTGGCATTAAACACTGGAGAAGTAGCGTTAATTCATCATGATTCTATGCCCATAAATAATCGAAATAATAAAACTACAACAAATATTAACAATGTATGCAATGCAGAACAATTGCAATCAATTTATAAAGGACAGAACAGTGAACTTTATGGATATGTTGATCCACAGCAACGAAGGAAAAATATCATATTACAAGGTAATTCATTTATATGGAAATAAATGTCTTCTTAGCTTATTCTTAACTGAAATACATTTCAATTTTTTCGAAAGATTATAAATTTTACTGAAGAGAAAACACATTATCTCCAAGTATATATGATTATAGTGTTTAAAAGAATTTGGAACTGATGATTGACACTCTCGATTTGTGTTTCTCGACTTTGTTTTGATGGCTGGATTCAGTTAGTACGATGTACTGAACCTGTATTGTGTGCTAGTTTGAGAGGGAATATCCAATCCACAGGAAACTGGTTCTCCCTGTGGAGTTTTAATCAATTTTACAACCAGTGATGCTACCATTGACTTATTCAGACAAAGCTGACTTCTTATAGGAATGAAATATTTACACTGATTGGTGGTCAATGTTGTTCGTTTAGTCTTACGTGAACAACAGTTGGTACATATGATTAGAAAATGATAGTCCATTCATTTGAAATGAGAAAAAGAAAAATATGAATGGATAACTTGATAAACCTGAAAATAAAATAAATTCTGTTGAAGCATTTAAATACATCCGTCACGTTGTTCACCAAACAAAGTGTGAGAAAATTTAACTGCTTTAAACTTTACACATTGGCATCCCAGTAGTCTTGAACATCTTATCACCAGAATAAATTTGATCGTTATAGAAAGTAATGACAAGATTTTTATTAAACAATAAGTAACTTGATAAACACAAGATATTAAGTAGTAATTTACAACACTTTCATAGTTGTTTATATTTAGAAAACAAATACTAAGCTGTCATTCGTAAAAGCACATATTCATTAACCCTTTACGTTAAATTTTCACCAGAAGTTTATAATATCTTACGATTTACAATCAATCATAAGTACATCAAAAGATATTTTGAAGTGATTTTCATAATGAAGTGTGTTATGGTTTTCTGTTAAATTTAGTCTCATTACATAATTCGTAACGCTTCCCCTAACAAACTGCATAGAATAAGCTAAGATTCTGTAGGAACTTTAAATACCAGAGGTTGAACAAATATGTACATACATAATTCAGATAAGGATATGGAAGGTGATGACTTTGGTCAGGTCAATAAAGCACTCACAGCAGTCAGTCAGATACAACATAGAACCAGGCAAATATATGCATCAGTCAAAATTGTCATACCTAATTAACATAACAAGATGGATACCGAATTCATAGAACTAGCTACTTAAATGGTAGTAAAAACAAAATGTTTCATATAAGGATATGATACAGGGGAAGGGAATTGGTTCGGAGACGAAAAGGTATAATTTTAATCCCACGTTTTATGTCAAGACAGAGAGTTTATACACCTACGCCATTGTGACCAATTCTGAGCCATATCAACTTCGATGACTCAAACTGTCTCAATCTCAATTCATTTTAACGGTGTGAGAGCTATGATACTGCAGGGTGACCAAACCGAAGCAGGTGGTTTTCTTAGGGGGCCACACTCCGAGCACTTGACCTAAAGGTCTGATCCACAAGGCAGTGGAGCGTCGTAAGGAGATGCGGTCCCATGGTAGCCGGTGACCAACGATTGGTTCATATGCCATTTGTTCCTTCAGGATACTGGAGCCCATGTACACCATTGGTTTGGAATCAGGGTTTCCCAACTCCCCTATGTGAACTCTCCGTGTCCACCAACCCGGTCAAAGCTCCGGACATTCGCTTTTCGTCCTCTCAATTTCGTAAACACCTCTGCCACGAGAAGGCAGTGACTAGGACTTTCCTGGCAGAGGCTAAATACACGTGGCCATGTGAGAGCATTTCGAGAGGGCACTCCACACTCTCGGCCGTGCCAGGGCCTTTAAGTGGGTCTTCTTAATTTTAAGCAGACGTTTCTACGAAACACTAGTGACGACAAATAAATTGGTAGTATAAGTCATAGCTTGGGATAGAAAAATTCCTTCACGTAATTAAACACCTAATTGACAACAGTAAGATAGCATTGAGTTTGTTTCGATCTCACGTTTGTAGTTGCAGTTGGGATCCAATGATGAAAAAGATTGTAATTAAACAGAGCGATAATTGCTGAAATCGAGATTTTAATTACTTGTAACAACGTTAAGTCATAATGATTCATACATAATAACATGTATGTTTAATACACTTTCAATGAACTCTATTTTACAAATGATTTAATTGTATTATGTTAATGAATAGAATAACGAATTTACACAATCTCAAGACACCGTGGATATCAATTCTTCGAAAAATAAATAACCTTTACAAGTTAATACACATTTTTAATGGTCCTGTATCTGTTTATTTATTTATTTGAACGCATAAATATTGGTACAAGGGGGCACCAAATATATATGCTCCACACCTGTATCTGACTCCAGGTTGATCGTTTCTGATTGTTACTGAAATATACATGTCGTTAATTATCGACTTAAATCGCATTGGTGAAGAACGGAACTAAATAAGTCAAATACGAAAATGGATTTTCGAACACGTATATTTCGTACAATCGTTGATCGGAAAGCGAAACAAAACAAAATGACGCACAATGGAGAAGGCGAGTGAGCCAACCCACTTTAGTTAAGCGTTAATCAATATTTAGTCAGAAAAAAATAAGTTACAGACATGTGCTGAGTAAGATAAGAGATGCACGCACACGCTTACATAAAAACAATCAAGGTTGATAAGTGAATAATTAAGAAGGTCAAAATGTGACTCATGAAGAATGAATTAATTGGTCTGTCCGTGAGCTAAAATAAATTACATGGGCTTGACATAGCAACCGACATTACAATTTATCTGGTAAGAAAAACGAAACCCAATTGGATTAAGTTAACAGTAGATACAAAAAACTCAGATTTTAAAGGTAGTGAAACAGGGATAATCTAAAACATAATTAATGGAAAAAAACACGATGTTAAATGAAGAACGTTAATAGGAAATAATAATCTTAAAACTTATTACTAAATGTTAGTGAAATAGTTTGTGTTTAAAACTAATTTTACTTTTAAGGATACGAGTGATCAATTTTTATCATATTTATTAGCCGAAACAGTTAAGATGAAATACCTGCATAGGCAAAAAACAAACCATACTATTCAATTCGTCATATATATATATATATATATATATATATATATATATATATATATATATATATATATATATACCCGGTTGTATAACACTGTGCAATGTTATCGTTCGTAATCTAAAAATTTTTTAGTATAAACACTAAACAATTGGTCACAGGCTTGAACTATTTTTTACCTGTTAATGTTACAGTAGTTATCTATAAAAAAGAGAGGAAACTCATAATCAAGTGCATCAATCAGATCATGACAGATGTTTTTTGAATCAACAAATCATTTTTGTCAATTATTGAAAAAAACGAATGTTTTAAAATGTCATACTACTCTTTATTCAATATGATACCATTTTTTAAAGTAACTTAGCAAAAAAGGTACACAATCGTATACTCGGATATGGATACAGTGATAATATTCACGTTTAGAATTAAAAAATGAAGTATGAACTTCAACATACGAATTAATAGCTACCAGCTGAATACTCTTAACGCTACGCCATTAGCAATCATACAAAAGGTCCAATTAGAGTTCTAGTAAAACGATTGATAATAACAACGATGAGTTTTATCTTTTCTTTTCAACTAGATATTTTTGTTAAAATAGTCGAGTCTTTTTAATACACTTTTTTCACTTGTAAATAGGTAATACTTACCAAACGTTACAAACGAGACAACACCCTAATTTACAAAATATGTCATCATTTAGTAGAATCATAACTGGAGATTTTACAAATACTAATAACAATAATAATTACATTATCAACAACAGTAATAATGACGCACTGAAAAGATCAATGACTCAATATCATCATCAGTATAAAAATGGACAGTATACACCATTACTCGATATGAACAATCAAAGGCATATGTTGGAGCGCTTACATTTATTACAAGCATCACAACCAAACTTATGCATAGGTTTTAAAGGCGATGGAGATGATGTCGAGGATGAAGAAGAAGAGGGCAACAGTAATGATATTGAAAGCAATATCAATAACAATAGTCTAATCGCTGATGATTGTCATTCCTTTGGTCATATCCACAAGAAAGAATCATTTACACGCCAAGAGAGAGCTTTTAGTTTGACTAATTTGATTCCACAAAAAGCAGAAATCTTATCATTCAATGAATATAATAATAATAGTAATAATTTTGATGAACACCGAAATAATAATACTACTAATCATACAAATGAATATCATGAATCGAAAAACTGCATGAAATATGAATCCTCTTCACCATCAGTTAATAAACTGATACAGCATGGAGAAAAAGCACAACACCGGCCACAACATGAACGAATAGTATTGATAAATAATAAAATAAATAGAGTAAAGCAAAATACTATACCAACAACACTGCCATCAATAAATACATCAACATCGAATACAAATCAATGTATTACATTGAAATCCAGTCAGTCAAAACACACAACAGATGATATTGCAAACAATCCAAACTCAATTACTACTAGTGGGAGTAATAATAATTCTTATTGTACTGTTAGTTTTGTTTGATCCGGTCAAATAGTGTAAATAAGTACATAGAGAAGAAACTAAACAATGAAGAAAGGAGGAATTACAGAAATGAAAAGATACAGCAGGTTTATTTTTTTAGACACTACCGACCATTATCAACATTTTCGTTTGAAACGCTGATCAATAGATTCCTGTTTTACATTTCATATATATATAAATATAAATATATATAAATATATAAATATATATAAATATATAAATATATATATATATATATATACATATATATATATATAATAGTGCATCGCCACAACTTTCATGTGTAAATAAGTGTGTGTATATGTATATGTTTGTGATTGCTTCGATCGAGTGACGATAAAAGGATGAAACTTTCTTTTTATTAATATATTATAAACCCATCGGTGCAAGTAAATGCAAATGAAAAAAATATTATATTTAATTATTTTACGTAGGAAATAACAACACTGAGTGTATGTACATGAGCTAAATTCATCACTTCCCCCCAACCCATTTTCATATACCTCGATCACCATTTCTTACAGATTTTTTTGTGTAAGCATTGAAAAACAAACACGAATATTATCTCTGGGAAAAATTTGTAAATATATCAGGCGGAAAACAAACAGTGGGAATATAAATTGAAATAATATTTTGATGAACATTGAATGACCTCAAGATTTTATAGAATTTACGAGAAAAAAGAATGACATTCAGATGAGAACGAAATTATGTGTGTGTGTGAAATAGAGGAAATCAGCCAAAATTGAATGTTTTAGTCTAGTCATTTTGTTGAGCTGATTTCTCTCTTTGTCTTCCTTTAATCACAACATACAAATAAATAAGAAATATACAAATACAAGAACACTCTCTCTGTAAATGTAGTTATTCCAAATTTTCTCTCATTTGCCTCAAATAAGAAAAACTAATCTATATATTTTATGATAAAAAAAACTATACAAATCACCAAGAAATTCAAACATAACAATGTACACACATCGAACACTTACCAAGCATGGTGTTCAAGACAAACAGATATCACCACCAATATGCATAATTGTATGTAAATCCGTATATATATATTAATTAGCAAGAAAGCATATAGGTACCAACATCCACACACCCGATTGAAACAGTAAGACAACAGAAAAGTCGACGCTTTTTTTAAAGAAAAATAACCATAATGATTTTATTGATGATGATGACAATAATCATGAAAATAACTATTATTGTTTACAAACTATTCTTCTCATTAATACCATTATTAATAATAATTACTATTACTGTTGTCTTTATTATTGTTGTATTTATAAATTAGAATTCGGTACAAGATATTTTTGACAGAATGAGAAAAAAAAGAAAAAACAACACTAAAATGAAATTATACATATGTATATTTGTTTTATCATTTAAAATGATATTCCATACATTCTCTTTTTATTTTATTAAATATTAATGATAAATTATTCAATTAGCTCTGTTAATTGTTTTTAAATTTTCTCAATTTTTTTTAAAAATAATTTTTGTTTTAAAAATCAGATGGAGATATGTTGAAATAAAACAAGAGGGAGGAAGAGAGAAAGAAAGAAAACGAGTACTAAATAGATACAAAAACACAATAAAAATAGAAGACATAGTGAGAGTGGGTACAAGAATAAACCATCTTTATCCGTTAATTTATAAAACAAAAAGGAAACAAAAATATGATTTATACAAGAAAAATTGTTTTCCGAATATTATTTATCCATTTATTATTTGAAAAGTATTCAATTATATGATGTTGGAAAGGAATTATAGATAGTAATATAGAAATCTATGTATATAAAATAAACTAAATAAATAAAACCGGATGGCACGATTATGAATAAGACTTAACAAAGAACGATTGTCTTAATAAGTTATATAATACAGAAAAAATATACGTGATACTGATATATATAACGATACGGTGTATTTTTTTTTACTGAGTTCGCTTTGGAGGATATTCAATCACCAATATAATTATCACAATTAAAAAAGCCACAATTAAAACGGCTACGAATATGCAACAACATCTTCGAGATCTTTGCTACAAGTAAACAAAAAAAAAACAGATGAACAATTATATTTAAAAGAAATGGTTGTTTATCATGTTTATTATTATTTTACAAAACATTAATCAGTTTTATTTTTGCTAAGTTATGGGGAAAACAAAACAAATGCACTAAGTACTACAACAAAAAAAAACAGTTTATGCATTTGTGACACTTAGAACATACTTATTGCTGATTTACTTTCAATTTCATTTTAATTAAACATCAATTTACTTTTTCTGAGTTCTGAAAAATTATATAAATCAATCCATAATTTTAAGATTGATATTTCATTATAATTAACAGATCAAAAAAGTGAAGTGAATCGATAACCTTTTGTAAAGGATACCACAAAAAGTAGGTCTAAATGAACGTTACCTGACTCTAATTATAGATAGTTACCAGTTACGACTATTCTGATAAAAGGATTGTCGTGTAATGCAAAAGAACACTTGTTATTTTCGTGACAAACTGATGAAGAGCCTTCTCAGTGATTTTGAACACTATGTATTCATAAATCACCAGCACTGAAGAATTAGGGTTCATATATCACCAACGTTGCTTTAGTCTTCACAAACACATGAAGATTAGGAAAGTGATTGAACTCATGACTGAATCCTACAGTATGTCACTAAACGATTAGATCTGATCAAGCCAGAGTTTATAAGTGATCTTACAGGTTCAAAAGCAATTACGAAAGTGTTACTTTAATTAGTTGGTTGCAGAACTACATCATCGAGATCAGTCAACTGGTTGTAATATGGAAGATAAACCAGATATTGGCCCACTGATAATTTCATGCGATTGGTCGAGATTCGACTTCCTTTTCTAAGTAATAAGACACTCCATTTGTGGAAAAATGTCGTGCATTTCTAAGGAGCAGCTTTATATATATATATATATATATATATATATATATATAGAGAGAGAGAGAGAGAGAGAGAGAGAGAAAGTTATTTCTCAAATCAGTTTGCCAACAAAAGGCTTCTTTTCCACTCAATTAGTTGGTTGGGTACTTAAATAGGACGTTTGTTTGTCAACAACAGATCGGACACCACACAACAAAACAAACTGATATTTGATTTATCATCGTGTCGCGTACGACCAGATTACCCTTTTTTTATAAAATGTGTATGTTATTTTTATACTGTTTGTACATATAGGAGGAATACAAACAAGCAAAGTCATGTATAAATCTACCAAATAACAAACTTTTAGTCATGACGTACGACGATCCAGACTGCTTAAGAGCTCTTATACCCATCTATATGTTGTTCACCTACTCTCCCTACATCAGTAACATGTCACTATACTTCAAAGTACCATTAACAATACTCTAAACCCTGTAATTCCTATCGTTTGAACTTGTCTTAAAACTAGCTATTTTACTCTATACGAATAACTTATACAGTCATAAGACTGGTCACAGTCATTTAGTGTGTATCTTATAACCAAACAGTCTTTACTCGAGTTGTATCATTTTAGCTTTCCGCTATTGCTTGTTCCTATAGTTTGCTAACTTTTTTGAATCCCTTGGATTGTCTTAAATTCATTGAATTTCTTAACGGGAAATATCATAACTGCAGGTTGTCAAATCATTAGTCTAGATGTATCTATATTTACAGTACCACAGTTTTAACATACGGAAAGGAATTGTTGCTGGTATTTCCTGATTTCAATTTGAATAAACAGTTTTCTATATTTTTTGTGCGTGACCTTACTTAGTCTGAATCTTACTGAACGTTTTATGATTATGCATTCCGTAATATAACAAAACACTATTCAATAACTATACACGAACTTGAGAATGAATCATACCTATTGATTAGTGGTATTCTCCATAGTGAATTTGACACTATATATGACTAAATCACATATTTATAATACGCCTTTAAGTAATGATCCAATTTCCGATATTTGACGAGGTTCTAAACTATAACATCAAGATTTTTAAAAAATCTGACTTTTATTTGTCTTTTCAACTTACTCGTCTATTAGCAGCTTTTGCTAGCTCTGAATGACCAGACTGTTCATTAGCTAATGCTACTTCGATATTGTCTTCAATTGAATCAATAGCACTGCGTTGTTCATATACTAATTCAGAAAGTTGATGAAAAATTGCATTTACATTCACAATATCTTCCTAAAATATAAAATGTTTTTAGACTGAATAGTAAAAACACCAAAATATATAAATAAAATTTAATGGTTTGATTAAACACATCTATATAAATTTAGCGTAATTAACGGCAATATTATCGTGTTAATCCGCGCACAGGATTTAGATTTGCCTATAGGGATTGATTAGTAACAGTGCTTAATGTAAACAGTGAGAGGATTTAAACCCTTAAATATAACTACACAACCACTAATCAAGGTGGCTGTTACATAGACTCAGTAGCTTGTGTATAATGCATTGATATCTGAAGTGACAGGTACTAAGTTCGAGTCTTGGTATGAACATTATTAATAGCATACAGGTGAACTCAGACGATGAGCTTCGAATAGGATAAAACGCTCATCTTAAATTTCACTGATAACCACAATTAAAAAATACTAAAATGTTAAGTTTATTTTTTTCGATCAAAATCAAATAGGTACACGAAACATATTACCAGTACGCTTTTAAATGAAGAAATAGACAAACAAAGTTCATTACCTTAAGAAGATCTTAATTTATTATAATACGAAAAGTGATTCAAATATAAACTCATTTGAAATTTAAGTACGTGAACAATAGAGCGATGAGAAACTAAAAATGTAAAAATGTTAACAGATAGATGTTATTCTTCAAATTACAAAACTGATGTATCAGATAAATGGTTAAAAGTCAAATATAGTTCTACTAAGACTAGTATTATTGAGATACGCTGATCTACATTGCTATACACGTCTGTCTAATCTATATTTGATACCGTAAAAACAATAAGGCGAAACTGGTCAAAAGAGACTTGACATATGTGTGGTTACAAATAAATCAACCACCTCGATAAGTAGTTTTCGGAGACTTATGAATGAAATGACGGATTTATTATTCAGTCTACATTCAGAGGATTGTAAACATTTTAACTGGGGAAAATAAGTATTACTGTCAATTCTAACACAACACAATAGTTAAAAAGCCTAGACCACATATTAATAAAAGGTTGTCACTGTGCAGCTAGGATGAAGTTACAGAAAGGACCAATCACGTCAATTAATATGATGTCAATAATTTATGTTACGATAACAAACGAGAAATAAACAAAAAACCATATTGTGTGATATTATTCAAATGATAGAAAAACGGTAGTTCAAAGTATACAATTAACATAACTAACCTAATTCAATGCTAGAATTATGATAGTACTAATAATTTCGATTCCAAAGTTCGTTTATCTGACTACTAATATGGGATTCAATACATATCAAAAATAAGATATACAGAATTATTCATGAAGTCCTCATACATTTACTTACTGGTGATAAATATTTATTTATTTATTTATTTTAACACATAAGTATAAGTACAGGGAGGCACCAAATACATATGCGCCACACGAATCTCAATTGATTTGTGTGAGGGCTGTGATACTGCCCGGGTGCCCAAACCGAAGCAGGTGGTTTTCTTGTGAGGCCACACCCCGAGCCTTTGACCTGAATGTCTGACCCACAAGGCAATGGAGCATCGTGAGGAGATGCAGTCCCATGGTAGCCGGTGACCAACGATTGGTTTATACGCCATTTGTTCCCGCAGGATACTGGAGCCCATGTGCACCATTGGTTTAGGATCCGGTTAAAGCGCCGGACATTCGCTTTTCGTCCTCTCATTTTTGTAAACAACACCCCCGCCACGAGAAGGCAGTGAGTAGGACTTCCCTGGCAGAGGCTATATACGCATGGCCATGTGAGAGCATTTCGAGAGGGAGAGCGGTCTCTCCCCACTTTCGGCCGTACCAGGGCATTTGGGGGTGATAAATAACTTTAGTACGTGTCATAATTCATCTGCAACTGAAGGTATCAGTAGCATAGTAAATCTTAATTTCTCTAATTAAACAGGATGCAGACGCCAATCAAAGGTTAGCAGCTAATAATCGTCTCAGTACAATTCAGGACCTGATATAACTATCCGATAGACCAAGCTGCTAGCTGATTTTAACAGAAAGACGGTGATAATTAGAAGGACCTGTTGAAAAACTTCATGTACTATATTTTTCTGCTTGGATTCCTTAAGAGTTGATAAAGCAGTCACAACGTTTTACGTTCTGTCATGTAAAAATCTGAAACTAAAACTACGCTACTGAAACAAAATTAGTAGTATAAGGTAAAATAACGCAATTATTTGATGGCTTTTTCAGAGTCCTACTATGGTTCTAACGAATGGGAATTTATTTAGATGATTCCTACTTATGGACTCAAATAACACTTCTTATATTTCAATATCAACCTAGTGAGTACTTTGAAATATGCTAGTAATAGTTATCAAAACTACCGAATAGATATGGCCGAGAAGGAAACTTAATTTAGTTTATGTATGTATACCTTATTTTTGCCATTGTGATACAATAATTATGGATTTATAACTGTACAGTCTGTTGACAAAGCTATTCAAAAGAGTTCACTCAAATACTTCGTTATTATTAGATGATCTTCAAGGAAGAGACTAGATTATAGGGACAAAATAGAAACATTGAGTTTCAATGAATAAACCGAAAGTTTGATATATGATATTGAATACCAGTGAGGAGCGATATACAAATATTCACTTTTCTTACTTACTTTCAATCATTAATAACTTGATATCAGTTTATGGTAAAAACTAAGTCTAAGTCTTCCACGGTGTGAGCAGCCGGGAAGTGACATCAGCACTCATACCCGTAACAGCACACGAGACCAAGTTGATCACAATCAAATCCTTTATAAACCTACTAACAACTCTCATATCTCCACGACTAAACCTTCTCACGTTCCTTTATCACCTCGCGCCGCTAATGCAAACGATTCAAGTATGCGGAACGTTATTCCTGGCCCCTCGAAACCACGCTCTAAACTACACATAGAAGCTTTCAACGTCCGAACACTGTGCCAAATAGGACAACAGGCTTCCTGAGCTGGGTCTTTAAAATCTTGCTCCATCGATGTGTGCTGTCTCCGAAACGCGCATACAGGATCCGAGTAGTGTCATTCATTTGACCTCACCATGTCAAAGTAACAAACCAACTCGATTTACGCTCCGTGTATCTGGAAGCCCTGATACTGCTTCCTGTGGCCTCGCTAGTGTAGGTATAGCATTGAGTCCTAGGGCAGAACTAGCTCTCTTAAAGTGAATCCAAGTAGACAGTCACACATGCTTAGAATCAGATCATGCTCTAGTGCGAGCGCGTATTTGTCTGCGTCTTGCTGAACGTAGGATAGACGCTGTAAGGAACCCCCCAAATGCCCTGGTACGGCCGAGAGTGGGGAGAGTCCGCTCCCCCTCTCGAAATGCTCTCACATGGCCATGCGTATATAGCCTCTGCCAGGGAAGTCCTACTCACTGCCGTCTCGTGACACAGGTGTTGTTTACGAAAATGAGAGGACGAAAAGCGAATGTCCGGCGCTTTAACTGGATCCCAAACCAATGGTGCACATGGGCTACAGTATCCTGAAGGAACAAATGGCGTATGAACCAACTTTTGGTCACCGGCTTCCATGGGACTGCATCTCCTTACGATGCTCCACTGCCTTGTAGGTCAGACGTTCAGGTCGAAGGCTCGGGGTGTGGCCCCTAAGTCAGTCAGTCAGAAACAACGTGGAATTTCGTACGTACGTACATCAGTTCGAGTTGCCATACCGCATTAGCACAGAGATTCAGTTATCGATTCAAATCCCATAAAGGTAGATGTACTAAAAGTATAAGTAGTGATAGGGAACATTTGGGTTTGATAATGTTATTCAAGGAGTATAGTCCAGTGGAATATATTTGAAAAGAAAATAAAGGACATGAAGAATACAGAAGATTAGAGTTTGACAGAACACAGAGAGTGGATGCACCTGCGCCATCGCAAACGATTTTGAGCCATGTCATTCGTCTCTAACCATCGTTTGTTATCATCTTGCGGTCCCCAACCAGGTAGTCTACACCTACCAACATGGCTCAGTTCACTTGTCAGTGACTTCATGGATTTGTGCCATGTTTTAGTCTGGCCGCCCCTAGCTTTCTTCCAACCTACTCCTACACTATAAAACATCGCACGTCGTGGCAGTCGGTGGTCTGGCATGCGCAACACATGTCCCAGCCATCTCAACTGATTAAGTTTCACTACTTCGTCAATTGATTTGCCATCCTTACCTAGTACCCATTTCCTAACAACTGAGTTACTTAATCTTTGGTCCCAGGATATACGAGCAATGTTTCGAAGACAACAACAAAGTTAAACAGGAATGGAGAGAGTGGACAGCCCTGACAAACACCACTTGAGGTAATCAGTTCTGATGACAGTTCACCATAAGCTCTCACTCGACCAGTTGTGTTCGAATAGAGAGCCTTTATAAGGTTAATATACTTCTTTGGTACTCCTTTCAATGACAAACACTGCCATAGAACCTCACGATCAAGAGAGTCAAATACCGCCTTAAGATCGAGAAATACTACGATAGTGGGACGTCTGAATGTGTGTCTATGTTCTACGACCTGACGTAGTGTGAATATCTGGTCTATACAGTCACATCCAGGTCGGAAACCAGCCTGGTTTTCTCTAGTCTGCTCTTCACGAGTTTTGGTTAGACGTCGAAGTATTCCTGAAGCTAATATTTTAGACACTATATTAGTCAAACTAATTCCTCTGTGATTGTCACAAGAGGACTTTTGTCCTTCATTATAGACTGGCACAATCAGTTATTGAGACCAGTCAGATGGGATTACGTCTAGTCCCCAGATTCCACCTAAGACCTCAGTCAATCTCGCTGTTAAAACTGGACTGCCATCCTTAAAAATCTCAAAAGTAAACCTGTCAGGGCCTGCTGCTCTCCCTCGCTTCAGATTTCTTATAGCTTTTTCAACTTCGTGAAGAGTCGGAGGACTCCCATTATCTTGCCATTCAGGTCTCGTGGCGGGGGTGTTGTTTACGAAAATGAGAGGACGAAAAGCGAATGTCCGGCGCTTTAACTGGATCCCAAACCAATGGTGCACATGGGCTACAGTATCCTGAAGGAACAAATGGCGTATGAACCAACTTTTGGTCACCGGCTTCCATGGGACTGCATCTCCTCACGATGCTCCACTGCCTTGTAGGTCAGACGTTCAGGCCGAAGGCTCGAGGTGTGGCCCTCCAAGAAAACCACCTGCTTCGGTTTGGGCACCCGGGCAGTATCACAGCCCTCACACAAATCAATTGAGATTCGTGTGGCGCATATGTACTTGGTGCCTCCCTGTACCTATACCTATGTGTTAAAATAAATAAAATATAATACGACTGGAGATCATGGGAAACGGAAGTGTGGCTGAAGGCCAGTTGAACTGATCCCTAAAGTGTTCTGCCCATCGATTCAATCTCCTGAGTTGTGAATGAATAATATGTCCATCTTTCTCTGAGATTGTTTCGCTAACAGTTGGGTTCCTAATACCGGTTTCCTTGACAAGTCTGATCAGTTGTTTGCTTTTACCTATTGCCGCTGCCTTTTCCATTTCTCTTGCTTTCTCTACCCACCACTGTTCACGATCAATGCGTAGGCTTCTAGTCAGCTTACGCTTAAGCTGACTCCGCTCTTCGTTATGTTCACCGCCAGATGGAATGAGTTTTCGAGCATCTATCAGTGGGGTAGACGCTGCTGAGATCCAGTGTTTCTCCCTAATCTTATGGTTTACCGTACTTGTAGACGTCACTGCTGTTTCTACAGCTTTTCGGATGTCATTCCATGCTGCCTCGGGGTGGGCATCAGTTACATAGCTGCCTAACTGTTTTTCTAGTTGTTCCTCAAATATACTCTTAGCTTGACTATCATTAAGTAGGACCCTAAGTGGTTTCCTTGCAGCATGTTTCCTACGTCCAGTAAGACGTACACAAATACGCGCTCACACCACAGCATGATCTGAGTCTAAGCATGTGCTCCCGAGTGAGCGACAGTCTCTGTCGAGCTCCTCCATCGGTGGCTGATAGCGATGTGATCTATTTGGGTCCAGCGTTGAGACGAATTCGGGGGTCGCCATGTCAAAAGATGTTTTTCCTTATGTTTAAAGTTAGTATTTGCAAGAAACAGGCGGTTATCTGAGCATAGCTGCAATAGACTGTCTCCATTATCTGTTGTTTGAGCCGCGACACCATAAGATCCATCCAGGTGTCTCTCTTTTTCGCATAGTTTACCTACTTGAGCATTAAAGTCACCAGCCACTATTACTACATCTGAACGCCTAGCTTTTCGGAGAAGGTCGGAAAGCTTTCTGTAAAACTCATCTTTTACATCATCTGAGCTGCAGTTAGTGGGAGAGTAGGCAGAGACGACGAAGAGGCAACGACGAGTGTCCCTATCTTTCCGAGTCCTTACTGTTCCGTTTAGTCGGACAGCGCACAAACGACTGTCTACTGGGATCCAGTCTAAGAGAGCTAGTTCCGCACTAGGACTCAATGCTATACCTACGCCAGCGAGGCCACGGGAAGCAGTATCAGGGCTTCCAGATACACGGAGCGTAAATCGAGTTGGTTTGTTACTTTGACATGGTGAGGTCAAATGAATGACACTACTCGGATCCTGTATGCGCGTTTCGGAGACAGCACACATCGATGGAGCAAGATTTTAAAGACCCAGCTCAGGAAGCCTGTTGTCCTATTTGGCACAGTGTTCGGACGTTGAAAGCTTCTATGTGTAGTTTAGAGCGTGGTTTCGAGGGGCCAGGAATAACGTTCCGCATACTTGAATCGTTTGCATTAGCGGCGCGAGGTGATAAAGGAACGTGAGAAGGTTTAGTCGTGGAGATATGAGAGTTGTTAGTAGGTTTATAAAGGATTTGATTGTGATCAACTTGGTCTCGTGTTCTGTTACGGGTATGAGTGCTGATGTCACTTCCCGGTTGCCCACACCGTGGAAGGGTATTTCTTGAGGTGCCTGAAAAGGAAATCGGATTAGTGTTGGTCTTGAAGACCTGGGAGCGTGACCACAGAGCCCAACGGACAACTGCTTGAGGCCGGTCGCGCACGGCCTTTTGATGGGAGGTTTTTAATGTGTTAGCTCCGTTCATCACAGAGCCATACCGCCGGAGACGGAAATCCGTGGGGTAAAGTGAGGTGTGACATTTTTTGGGCCAGCCTTTTCTAACCCCTTCCTTCCTTGTGAGAAGGTAGCATCGCTGCAGATGCTGGTTGTCCGAGGGAAACACCTTACTGCTGTCACACCTCTGTACAGTCAGCAGTACGACTTCGGCCTCAGACCTTGAGTTACTACTTTTAGTCTTACCGTTCTCCAATCGACCTGCCTGGCATGGTAGAACCTGCAGGAACATGTGTTCCAGCGAATATAGCTCGGTTGGGTCCTCACGATAGGCAAGCCCGACCACCACGTCAAGGTAGCAGCTACGGTCGGGCTCCCTAAGAAAACCACCTGCTTCGGTTTGGGCATCCGGGCAGTATCACAGCTCTTACACATATCAAATGAGATCTGTGTGGTGCATACGTATTCGTTACCTCCTTGTACCAATATCTATAACAGGAAGAAAGAATTAGTTCGTACAAATAAAGATATGAAGCGATATGAAGCTGAAACCTGTACAGCTACTACACCTTTACCATAAACACATTTTACAAGCAGTGTAAACTTCTTTAAATAAGTGTTAAACAGCACCGTCAATTACATGTAACCCAGAAAAAATGTCAGAAATGGCACATATGAACAATCTCCAACGATATCACTAAAAGTTAAATGAACTGAACGAAACTTTTCCAAATTTTGAACTTCCACTTATATTACTTCTTTTGAACCTAAAAGCACTTTTGAAGGACTTTACCTCACGACTTATTAGCTGGTCCTGGTAATGCTGTGAATATTACCCATTAAGTGAAGATCAATCATACTACTAGGTAAATTATAGTTCGAATAGTGTTTAAATTAATGAGACCCGTATGCGTAAAACATTGAGTCACAAAAAGTATAAATTAGTGCATTCATGACCCACAATGTTAAATAGTCGACAATAATGAATAGTTAGCTAAAACAAAAGGATAAAAGTGACTCAGAACAAAGGGTTCAGTAACTGAAAATCAAGCTAATGTATTGCACCAACAATGATTAGATATTTACTCAATGTTTAATTGCCTCATAAACCTTTAAGTTAACTTATAAAGGTAAAAGTGATTCTGTGTCAGTGAACTGCTTTAAAAAAAACACACCGAATTATGGTACAATAGAGAATATTAATAAAATACAGTATTCCAAGTTTCCAGATTTCCCAAACATTATAACTGATCAATCAGCAGTGCTCCGGAAGGTTTTAAAGATCATAGCTGGGAATCTCAATAGCCAGTCTAACTATTTCTAAACAACTACTTTGAGGCTGATTGGTCGACAACTTAGTAAAAGAATAATTTGATATCTCATTAATATAATTAGAAATATGCTTTTCCGATAGATGGATATAAAAATATTACATATACTTATATATCTGCACACAATTTAATGCAGTCACTTTTAGGAACTTTCGTCCGAAGAACTTTTCATTTTGCAACCAAACAACATATAGTTTAGAAACCGAAAACAAGTACACATAATTGTATGCGTAGTCTAAAAACTACACCTACACATGAGAAATAAGTATTCAATCAATCATCAAACTTCAAATCAATAATGCTAAGTATGAACAATATCATGTTACCTCACATTCGCATTACATAGTGATATTTAAATATTTTCTTTTCAACACAGAACAGAACAAAATGTAAGAGTTTGGAATCAATGAGACAGCAGAATCATTGACCCTTAAGTGGCTAGTTTGATTGACCAAGACAAATAAGAAACAATAACACTAAAACAAAAACAAATCAGAAATTGATGAGGAAGCCTAACTGAGATTCAGCAGTATCAACTGCGGGCCACTGTAATAGTCCCTACTCCATGGATTAGTACTATGAGTACATTTGCAGACACTAGTGCTGGAGAAAGTTAAGAGATATATCAAATAACTTATCTTTCACAGCAAAAATCAAATGACTGGTCAGGCCACCTCTCTGCATATATATATATATATATATATATATATATATATATATATATATATATATGGGTGATATCGTGATTCTAGCATCTATGTAAATGCAACCACTAGCTTTCTGACCTGTCCCAACGGACTGGACGTTACTGCTAATAGAATAGCGAATACTAGTAAGTAAGCATTAAAAGGATATAGTAGAATGAAAACGATTTTCTAATTATATACAGTGCTTCAAGAGATCCTTAATCACTAAAAATGAAGATTTAAGTTAAATCAATAATACTTCGTGATGATATCACAATAGAAATGAGCCGTTCACCTAAGATGCGGTGCTTATGTCCTCCGAAAACTAAAATGTCTTTAAGTATCCGTCAATAAATAAAGTACTAAGTAAGCTAAATGTGAGAATTTATTAAGCATTAATTTTAAGGCTGAAAGAAAAATATGCATGAATCAAACTCAAAACTGTACGTAATTGGAATATAGCATCAAAGGAAATTTTTACGGAAACATCGCGCACAAAAAAAACTCAAGTAAACAGGACAGGAAATAAATACGCGATATTACTAAGTTTACAGATTTACATTTCTTATACAATACCAGTACTTTTTCTAGAAAAATACACTGGAACTCATTGTCAGAACACCTGAAGGTAAGTTCGTTAAAAGTGCAAACTCAAAAACCCACCTCTATAGAACGCATTTGATCCTCCTGATTTAACGCTAGTCCCAATTCCTGAACTTCATAATCTTGTGGGGTGCAGATCTGTGCTTGAATAAACTGTCCTGCATCAGTATCATTTGAATCAAAATTAATCAAATCTCCAACAATTGAGGAAGTTGGACGACTTTCAGTAAGCAGTCGCCTTTTGATTTCCTAAGCCAAAGAATGGTCAGAAATAGTAAAGTATAACTCGGATTACAAGAAGCTTTATAGTGGTGTTGAAAAGAATACATATAACTGGGATGTTTTAATTTCGAAAACTATTAGAATTACTGTTTTAAAGAATGTGACTGCTCTTAACCGCAATTGCACGATTCGTTTTACATTATATACGAGTATCCCCTTGTACTGACCCTTAGAGGGTAGTACGTCTACATGAGTAAAAGACAATTTGTCCAAATGAACATTATCACACCACCAGTCACGATAAAAAGAACATCACATTTGTGAAGGTTATGATGGGAAATGGTTGTTATTTTTCTTCGTCAGATACAAACAACGAAACTAAAACACTCCATCGTCCACTTCGCCTTCTAGTAGTCGATACGAGACTCTGTTTAAGGAACATGAAGTATTTACACAATCTATAACTTCTATCCGATTACACAAGAACCAGATGGTAGTAATATAATCACAATTTTTAACTGGTTTCATGAAACATTCAAGTGATAGAACTATCCTGCATGTGATTAACGTTATAGAAACCTTGAAAGATCATAACCTAAGATTAAAACTATTTATTTCATGATTTAAATGTCCCAGAAAATCTGCCACTGTTAAGCATACACGATCAGGTCTATATCAATCACTGTATTTATGACACTTAGGCACAATGAAATGTTCCAGAATTATGAACACTTCGTCATTTTTATGCTGTAGTTTCTAGTTATTTTTAAACTATACTCTAGTCATTTATTATTTTATTTTTTCTACATTCAACTGTAATGATGAATGTATTGCTAAAATGATGTTCTGTGGTTATAAGCATTAATTGTGGCAGACAATACCCAAGTACGTCTCAGAGTCATAACAACATGACGTTAGACAATCTTGCTATGCTTTGTTCATCAGATCAGCTGGTATTTATTACATTTTGAGACTTGTCAATGTTTTGATAATAATGTGTACCAGCCAAACCCGAAACTCATTCCAAAAACATACAAATTGAATGCACTACAAAATGAGAACTATGAACGATTAAAACTACTGTGAACAGTTTTGTCTTATACCTCAATACTCTCAGTGATTCCTAGCACGTTCAACCCCTACTGCGTACCTTAATCATTAGAATATTATTATGTACCCGGTAGCTTGATGGAAATCTCAACCCGGTTAGCCTGAATCACTTTTTAAATATATTTCTTTCCAATAAATAGATGATTCTTTATGCACTCAACTGCGGATCGTATAAAATCAGGAACCAAATTACTGACAATGTCGTCTTATATATTAAAGTTTGAAGGTACTCGAGCATCATTTTACAGAAAAACGCAAAACAAACCGTTATTTTTTCTTCAGTCTGATCGGAGTAATTTTCTAATGGTTTTTACGTAGTGAAATTGCCTTTTGTAAACTGAGTCAACTAGAGAACTCTCATTATAGTAATTTAACTTAGGAAGGTTGAATTTGAATAAATCAACTAAATTAGTACATAGGGAACAAAGGTGACTACTAGTGGTAACAACGTAAATTTTAGATGAACGCCACTCAATTATCACTTTGTATGAAAATTCTCTAAAAGCACTTATTCCACCCCATAATTTAGGAAAAAACTATTGCCAGTTATAAAATGTGCTGATATGTTACTTTTTTAGATCAGACTCATAAAACCCTATATCTTACGGCGGGAGACACTCAGTTAAAGTAAAATCAAAGATTAGTGATAGGCAACAGTGTACCAACAATCGAGGAACTGAATAAAATTGGAGGAATGGTCAATAAACTAAGTTTGAGCTAGATATCTAGATGGTTTATGTTTTCTATACACGAATTTCAATTAATTACCGAATGAGTGCAAATGGGAGCTTTCTGTGCTGTTCAACAAAACTAGTTTATCCGAAATTATAGAAATAACCTTTGTCCTTGCATTAAAACCAGTGGTCACTGAACAGAAACAACCATTTGCATGGCTATTACTAATTGTCATGTCATAACTCTGGTGTCTCCTCAATTGCGGATAAATCTTTCGCCTTTTACTAAAGATTTCCGTGGGGAGGCACAATACAATGAGTCTTGCCCCCAAATGCCCTGGTACGGCCGAGAGTGGGGAGAGTCCGCTCTCCCTCTCGAAATGCTCTCACATGGCCATGCGTATATAGCCTCTGCCAGGGAAGTCCTACTCACTGCCTTCTCGTGGCGGGGGTGTTGTTTACGAAAATGAGAGGACGAAAAGCGAATGTCCGGCGCTTTAACTGGATCCCAAACCAATGGTGCACATGGGATACAGTATCCTGAAGGAACAAATGGCGTATGAACCAACTTTTGGTCACCGGCTTCCATGAGACTGCATCTCCTCACGATGCTCCACTGCCTTGTGGGTCAGACGTTCAGGTCAAAGGCTCGGGGTGTGGCCCCCTAAGAAAACCACCTGCTTCGGTTTGGGCACCCGAGCAGTATCACAGCCCTCACACAAATCAATTGAGATTTGTGTGGCGCATATGTATTTGGTGCCTCCCTGTACCTATACTTATGTGTTAAAATAAAATAAAATAAAAATAAAGACTTCTGTAAACACACCATAAGCTCTTGAGATATCAATGAGACAGGTCGATTATAAAGATTCCAATTTTAGTAAGCCTTTAAGGAGTGATGACGTCCTCTAAAAACAAAAATGAAACACGCTGCATTGGACATATACCCACGTTCCTAGGGCAATCACAAATGAAGGACAAAATGAAAATCATTTAGATAGTCGTCAAACAAAGGTTAGGATGTTGAATAAATATTTGATACCTGTAAGGTATCAACAACTGGATATCCCCAATATCACAGTAAGTATAGTGTACAGTCCTCAGTAGAGACCTGAACATAATTTGAATTTACTGTACTGATACTAAAAAAAACACTGGTACTTTAGAGCTCAGCGAAACGTAAACAGAACTATAAGTCGAGAATTATATGCACAGATCACTATTCAAAGAAGTTTTTGTCAGACTTCTTAGCAAATAAATGTCATTATACTTAACGAATTTTACCTGTATTCATTAACTTATCGGCATGATACTAAATGACAAAAAATCACCACAAAAATTCATCCCAAAAACTGATTGAAACATCAAATAAGGATTTCAGGAAAAGACTCACAGCTTGAGTTCTTTGAAACCGATGAAGTACACGCTGAAAGTCAACTTTGAGCTTCTCAACATGAATTTTCGTTATCTAGAGCTGATCTAAACTATATGAAAAACCATACCTGATCCGATAAAGGCTGCTTCGAAAGATTAATGAACACGTTTTTAGTATCGTCAACCAGTTCCAGAGCATCTTTTTCTCTTTTATTACTACAACAGACATTTAAAAGACAAAAACACATACAGAAGGTCGGATTGAGCCTTTGAATTTCCTGTTATGCTTATACTTTTGTTTAGCGTTTCCAATTCATTTGCTACTCGAATATGTAGGCGTTCGAAGAATAACATACCCAGTAGACGTATTTTAAGTATTTTCGAGGAGATATCTTCAAAAACCTGGATAACAGCAGTAGTTTCTGTGATGATAAAATCTTCCCAAGCACAAACATACGTGAAGAAGGTCCCGGATTACTACTGAGTTCACTATACATCATCAATCATTGCACTTCCATTGACGACAATAGCTTAAGTCAGTAACCTCTAAACTGAGAAAATAGGACACTGGCCTTGAAGAACTGATCTAACCGCGACAAGTTAGGTAATCCTCGCCATCCCAATAATGAAACAAGTCATGCAGAATCTTCATTAATGACAGTTTGAGATAGGCAACAGCTAATCTGGGGTGAACCGTCGAAACAATGAGAAACAAAATAAGTCATGGTGCAGATATCAAAATCAGGGTGAGAATCAGTGTATAGAGTTCTAAATAGTTATGGATATTAGAGTTGTATGACCAGTAAAATGTCACTGCGCCCCTAGCCAAATCATCCAGCAGTTGGGTCACTGAATATCGAACAGATCATCGATCCCTGTCAAAGTCAAGGACAACCAACGCCCATCAGTTAATCAATCGTATTCCTGTACTCATTCCTACTAATATATTTCCGTAATAACGTCCTTTGTGTTGTAGGGTCTTCAAAGAGTCCATAGTACCATGATATGACGAAAAGGTAATCCAAGCCAGGTGCTGGCTGCAAGATGTGATTTTGACGTTATCTGTTGGTCACACCATTCCCGTCTAATTCGAGTAGATCATCTACGTTGATGATCTACGGAGTTTTAGCCACGAACTGTCATCATCTACAATCACAAGACCTAAAAGAATATCCATATTCTAATTCCTAGCATAACAAGTCATTCATTCTCTTTTCACAAATGCCTGTAAATATTGACGACCGAGGATATATATTAGGCCGAATATGAACAGAAATGCTTCCATCTAATAGTCTTCTGCTAGAAGAAGTGATAAAGTACCCTCGAGTGGAGGTGAATCATGGCCGTACTAGAGTTTCATGTTGCCAAACTACAGAGAGTAGGGTCATGTTTGACTAAATCCAAGGTCACAGCATGGTTCAGCGAATGAATTTTGACCCCTGACTGCTTGCTTGGAAAGGTTGCTGAAATCCTTGCCGATAAATATTAGATCCCATCCTATCAAAAATACTTTTATTGACTCTAATGTGTTGAATTCTCGTTTGTTAAATAGTCCTTTTGTTGTTTAGCACGTTAGTTTGTGTTTGAGGAACCCTTAATTGTATAGCACAGGCTGTGTGGTTTAAGGTACTTTGTTCTTTTGATATAATTTATTCACCTTCCCAAGTTACAGCCATTCAGATTGAACTTATCAGATACGAAACTTTTGTAGGAAAGCACTGGAACCAAATTAAATTGTTCCCCCTCTTACTCCATTTGGTGACACAAATGACCCAATATTTTTACTTTAACATAAGGCGAAATAGTCAAACACATGAAAGTATGTATCTAGTTCGAACTCATAGTTCTTACTGAAACTCGTTTCTCATCTAATGTCACTGACAACCGAACAAGCATGGAAGCGAATGTTACTGCTCGGACGTAAAGTGTGACATGAAATAGAACTTGAAGTGTCGTGATCACCTTCCTCCCAGTTTAAATGTATTCTTCAGAAATACTAGAAGTCATATTGCTGACAGTAACGATAGGACGAGTCAATGTAGTGAGTGACATGACTTCCAGGTAAAATCCTAAAGATTAGGTAGTCACACTATGAAAAATCTAAAATTTTCGGATTATGTCGATTATTATAGTAGTACCGTAGTAGACCATAACTCCACAGCATCTTCCCACACAGTCGACAAATCACTGCCAGAAATCCCATGCACCTTGTTCTTACAAAACTCAGGAATCAGGGAGTTCAACGGGGTGATGTAGACACAACAACATCTACTTCAAGTTGTAAACTCAAGCCATCACTCAGTAAACCACGCAATCAAAATTGTCTTGTCCATAATGTGCTTGAATAAACACCTCACTGCTATTATCAAGACTATGGGTTTGTCAGGCTAGAGTAGATAGGAAATGAAATTTACGAAATATATGGCCACATGCGGTCCGATAACCAACCCACAGTCGACAAATGTCTGAGTTCAAGAGGGCTACTTTCATTTTCAACAATGTCACGAGAAGCTATGTGGAAGTGCTCAAGGTCAATTCGTCTACACGGTTATGACAGAGAATTCCAAACACTACCAATGATCTTAGAAGTGACGGAGATCATCGCACCTATAATAATGTCCGAAGCCATAACAAATAATAAACGACTACTCACGTAGGAGAAAATGTTGTTTGAAGTGAGCCACAGAGTGTTCTTCAAGTGAGAAGAACATGGAATAGGCCGTATGTTCCTTTAATGTATTCTGGCTATGTCCTTTATCTGACGCCACGAAATGGACTCAACACTGAGACAGAGACCTACAGAAAGCTCTTCAAGCCATGTCAGCCAACCAGACTCAAGCTAACCCGAAATACACACCGATCTATACATAGTTTAATACAAACCGTCAAATCGGGTGGCCAGTGAAATTATGAGACCCAGCATATTATTTGCATAATATTAGCCATATATTACTGTAACAGTTGCCATATTTAGAAAAACAGGTTCTGCGTAATTGAAAAATATATTGAGTTGACTTTAAGAAAGGAAAGGAAGAAATTAAAGCAATAGAAACGAAGGAAACGCGAAATGCGTATATAGTTTAACAAGAGTGTTTGCGAACACAACAAGAATAAACCATTGTGCATGTATCGCAAAATGAATAATAGGAAAAGAAAAGAAGAAAAGATTTAAAAAATAAGTAAATAAATAATTGCTGCAGAATAAGTGTTTGTGCGGAAGTAGTTTGGAGTGATGGTATGAAAGTCCAATTAATTGCAAAGTATAGTCAAATATCAATATTTATGAGCCATATAAACGTGGTAAAAATGAAATAAATTGGGAAAGTTAATTTATTTAAATGTAACATAAGATGATGTGATCTGTACATGTATCCCACCAGTAGATAATTTTTCTGATTCACAATTTACGGTAACCCAAGTGGACTCATCTATAGCAACAAGTCATCCATTCTCAAATTCACACTCCCAAATGTTCGAACGGACATAGATAATTGTACCACCTCCCATTCCATGACGTCTATCGTTTCGAAAGGAAACATAGTTATTTACGTGTAAGGAGTAATCGAACATGGGTTATTTGCACCACGTTTCCGTAATGAGTACAATGATTGGACTTATACGGAAGTACAGTGGTTTAACATGGGTAATTTTATTGGACAAAGAGCTGGCATTCAACAAAAGAATAAGAAACTGAGAGGTATCATGATGAAGCAGGCTTGAGTATAGATCACAAGTGGTAGTTCCATGAATACTCGTGGGATTGGCTAAGGTAAGAATCGTGTTGTGAGGAGGATTAGATTCAACAATTTTGTCAGTACTTGCAATATGTTTACCGTTGCAAGCACAAAAGTCGGCGGAATTGCAAGAAACGTCTCCTGGTTGTTATTGATCATAACGTCTGATAGAAGCATAGTGTACATATAGGGAGCTGGACCAAGAAGTCTATCAGGTCTATGTTTGTAACTAAGTGGTCGTTTACAATTCGGATTACTTTTTATATCTGGTGTATGTGTAACATGTTCCGTACGTTCATTTCCGAAATTTGTGGTTTATATTAGCTTCTTCGAAATTTGTGGAGAATCTGGTGTTGTAAGATAAATTTGCGATGGATTGCAAGGTTCGAACATATTTATGTTCAACGTGTGGTCAGTTATTTAATTATTGCAACTATTTTGCACGTTAGCCATTGTACAGTTACTGACATTGGGTGTTGCACTGACGCGGTTTTGAACTGTATTATCTAATTCGTTATCATTACAACTACTTAGGGTTAGTTCTAAATAATAATTTTTAGGAGAGTGAACACCAACTACATTGGGTTACTAAATTCTTGGTCCTGAGCTTTAAGAGATTCAGGGGAGTTTATCCATGGTGGCATATTTGTAAAGTCAAAGGTTCTCTTAAAATCGGACCTGATTTTATGAACTTTAGGATTATGATGAGTTTAGGAGTTTGACGCTAGTGGTCTGTAACTAGCTCTTCCTGCTTTTCCCTAGCGTGGTGTTCTATCTCGAAGAGTCTTAAAATCCTTGAAAATCTGTTTTTATCTCATCGTATTGGAGAAATTTAGAAACTCGTCAGCGTCTGCAGATGAGTTGAATTTTAACAAGATCGGTGAGTGCATATCAGGGTGAATTCTTTTGAATCTTATGCACACACATGGTACATGTGTCATATTTCTGGCTCTAAGCACATTAGACTTGATATTTTTAAGGGCATGTGTCCGGTATATTAAACGCGATTGCATTGCTAGATCGTCTTGTTCTTAAGAATACTTCTGGAGCAACACGATCTAGGAAATTATTTGTGTCATTCATCTGATCTGGAATCTCTTCAAGGTTGTGTTTCATAAGATACTTAAGCGGATTGAGAATTTTCATGCTAACTTTCAGCTTTGTTATATCTTTCATATAGTTGCAGTTGTGAATATCATCACTGTTCACCTAGAGAGTCCTCAACATGCCTGGAACGGTGAGAACTGGCATAAACCTATCTCCTTCCGGATGAACGGAGTAGCTCGTCTTAGTCAAACTGCCAGAAATCGTGTCAGTAGTGGTGTTTGATCGTGTCATTTTCTTACGTTTGGCTAGCGAGGTCTCTCAATTTTTTAAGGCATGATAAGCAAGTGGTAGGCAGCACATGGTCTGAACAAAGTGTTGGAGGTAGAAACGGGTGAAAAAATCAATGCTGAGGGCTTAAGACAGTTTGGAAATCAAAATCGGTGTTTGAAACAAGAGTGAATTTATCATGAGGATTGGTGAAGATGACAAATACAACAGGGAAAAATTGGAAGAAGATTATGGTATAGTACATGTATGGAGGTAAAATAGAATATATATGTGCACATTCGATAAATTTTAACGTGTAAATTACATGGAACAGTAGACGTACATAATAAACTAATATGGAACTGTCGAATATTAGTATAAAGTAATCAAAGTGGGTAAAGTAGGTGGTGTATGTAAAAACAAAGCCTGTGTCAGTTAAAATCGAGAGGTGC